AAAACCTCTTTTCATTTCCCTCCCTCCTTTCCACTCCATCAGTTGTAGACCCCAGCCTACACACCTTGTTAAAACAGCCCGATCGAACCAACATCCTCACTAATGAGCATTTCTGATCTACGGCTTTTAAGGGGAGCAGCTGGCACCTTCTGGGGAATTGCCTCTTCATTGCAAAAGGTCAGGAAAGGAGGAGCCTTCTCCCAGAAATATTCTCTACCTTCCTACTGCTTCTTCCACTTCTTCCTCCAAGCAGATTTGGTTCTCAAATCCAGCTGATTCTTAGGAGCAGGTGGCTCTTGATACTTATTTTTATTTTAATGATTCTGAAATAGTGCTTCATGGACAATTTCTAAGGGCATGGGTGACCAGTGTAAAAAGTATCACAGCGCCTACAATCTCATCATCTTCCTCACCCCCCGCCAGTGGAATAAAGTAACTTCTGGCTCAGAATATTTCTGGCATCACAAACTCATTCCACATGCTCAAGGACCAGCTACGCCAAGTCGCAGACACCTGTACTAGGGGTAACTACAGCCAACGACCTTTTGACTCAAGGAAGGAGGGGGGACTACAGCCCAAAGCAACAGAAGAGGGAGAGAGGAAAACCCCACTGCAGACTTCCCCTTCCTCTGCAGTGCCTAACATGAAGGGAGGTTGCTAAAGCAACAGTTTGTCCTAGCTGACTAGACATAGTCATGCACACAGGCCTCGTGCTGAACCAGTATCAGCGCAATCAGAAAAAGATGGGAAAAGCTCCTTCCTCTAGTTACGCAGCTTTGACTGCTCAGCCAGCACCTCTGGGACCAGTAGCTCCGAATTCGCTGGGTCCTGGTCTCTGACGCTTCCTGCAGCTATCCCGACCCCTGGGGAGAGCTCCTCTACAGCCCCACTGGAACCATTCATGCAAATCACCCTCTTTAAGAACTAGAAAGGAATACGATATTTAGCATCAGCCCACTCAGCCCCCACTGAAATAGCTTCAGGCTGAGGTCTTCAGGGGCTCGGGTGATGCTGTGCTGTTGCCAAGGCAGCACACCGCTCTCGCAGGGTGCCCCGGGTCAGGAGCTGTTAGGTGGCTTCTCACTGCAGCACCTTGGAGCAGCTGTACCTGCAGAGCCTCTGCGGCTGCACAGCTTGGGGGGGGTGGCAAAAAATAGCCTCACAGTCCAGCAGAGAGAAGAGGAAAATGCCTGCGTCTGCCAAAAACCTATTTTGGCTGTGCAATCTGAGTCGCCTCAGAGCGCCAGGAAGAGCTGGTGCACGCTAGCAGCACGTCTGTTGGCTTTGGGTTTGAGGCAGGAAGGGGCAGGTGATGGGAAGGGACCATGCCACGGCAAGGGAAGCCCAGCTGCGGGCGATCTACCTTAGCAGCCAGGTAGAAGCATGCTAGAAAAAGGTACGGTGAGATGCCCCACAGGCCAGTGTTCCCAGCTGGCTTCTGCATTTATTTCTATCAGCATATCAGCCAGCTAACCTCAGAGTTCAAAGCTGTTGCCCTGTGGCAGAGAACAGCGCGTCCTGAGCAGCCTACAAAAGGACACAGAGCTCCTGGGTGAGATATGCAGGTAAAGGGCTGGATATCAGTGACAAGGATTATTTTTATTTGACTGTTTAATTCAAGGTTTATTTGTTCCCTGTGTTGACACTGATGCAGATTCATTCCAGTTCAGAAGCTGTCACGTAGGGAGAAAGGAAATAACACAATCTGGCTCCCTTCTTTTGGCATCTGAACAACATAGTTCCTTAGGAGCGCTAGAGAGGCCGGCAGCATGTAAATGCTTTCCCTCCTGGTGACACAGACAGAACTTTCTGGTAGTCGAGTTACCCCCTTCCTCCCTTTGACTAGTCACAGCTGCACGTACCTTCGCTGTAACATCATGGTTATGCAACGCTGACTCTCCCACGTTGCTCTTACTGTGCCTCTCTCATATTTGCGCAAACAGAAGCCGAGACGGAGCTCGGCATCGGCCTCCGAGAGCCCAGCCACTTCTCAGCCCTCCTTCTCTGAGCCTGCACCACTCCTGCTGGCATCAGAGGTGAGCTGGGAGCACCGAACGCAGCTGTCCCAGGAGGGCACAGTTTTCTCCAGCCTCTCCAAGAAGGAACCTGCTAAGGCACGGACACGTGGGCTGCCCAGTGCACTCGGCCACCTAAGCGATGCAGACTCTGCTGGGATGGGCGCGAGTATTTACAAGCAGATCTAGGCTGGCTGCATCCCTGGGCCCCCCTTCTTCCTAGGTCACCACGACTTCCGGAATCATGCTGCTCACCAGGACTAATGGAGCACAGATGTACTCTCGAGGGAGCGAGCGCGAACCAGAACCCTCATCTCTGGAACGCTTCCCAGGAAGAACCATCTCCTCACCATCACGTACCCCGAAGTACCTAAGGAAAAGACAGAGCACGAAATTGAGCAGAAGAGTGAGTTCCCAGCATTTTTGCGACTTTATCCCTTTAAGGTTCTTGAGCAGGATTTATGATCACATCTTCTCAGAGGGAAACAGTGTTGTGCTAACAGGTAAGGAGGAAACAACCACAGCAAGATACAGATCTGTAATGCTTTAATTAAAGCGCAGGTAAACAGCAAACAGCAGCAGACCTCTCAAGTATTTCACAAGCCCCATCTTAGTCATTACTGTTTGCCTCACAGGTTGCAGGGGGTCTAAGACTGCTCTCCACGCTGGCTTGTAGGGCACAGAGCACATCGGGACAAACGGAACCTGGCTGTCAGGCAGAGCTGTGCTCCTGCTTGTCCACAACAACTGAGGGATCCAAGCGCACGGCAGCAATGAAAACATGCAGCCTGCCAGCGTGTGACCGAATTCGGTCAGGGCAGGGAGAAGAGACGTTTCACTCCAGACTGAAGACTAAAACGTACGATAAAGAGAAAGGAGTCTTTGAAAGCATGGCCCAGGCAGATTCCCCCAGCGTGGCAGGAGAGACCCATGTTTCTGATTTACCACTTTTGGCAAGGAATATCGCCAGAATGTAAACCACAGGTGATCATAAGCAGAACCAAACAGTGGGGGGTTCTGCAGCACAGTACCATCCATGCTGGACAGTGTGGGATCCTCCCTGTGACCCTGACAATAAAGCAACAGCAGGAAGCGGTGTGGTGCTGCTGGCCATGACTGTGACTGGCAACAAAAACACAGAAGCCTTTTTAATATTGCAAAGACAGAAATTAAATCCTTCTCCTCTTACGCAATGCTTGCCCTTCCTCAGCAGGGATCAAATCAATATGGGACCATGCAAAGTCAATGGTTTATTTCAAGCGGTTTTGAATTGGGCTTTGTAGGCAAAAAGGCATCAGCCTTGTTTCAAGCTCCATGAAGACACATCGGTATTTCCATTCCACGTCTATTTGTAGGACAGAAATGTGACTTTGTTCCGCTTTAATCCTGTTTAAACGACCCACTATTTTAAAATAGCGTCTGTCAGGAAAAAAAGAATCAAGTCTAGGGCTGGAATTATCCCTGGTAAAGATTGGGGATCCCACTTGTTAGTGAATGAGAATCACCCTGAAGGAAGTTAAGAACAACCTCATAGCATTAACGTTGTATTTCCCCACCCTTTCTTCTAGTTCATGTTAGCACCTTAGCTGTACTTTATGGTGGTGGCTTAAGCACACACCAGCACGTGCATATGCAAACACATGCAAGCTTGTCACTCTCATACAGCTACCAAACCACACAAGCAGTGTTAACTTACTGCATGCCTTTCTGGAGCACATTAACAGCAGCAGAAAGAACTTTCACGTAATTTCTGGAGAAATGCTACAGTTGTAGGCCAACTTACATAACTGATTTAGCTCAACAGAATTGCTTTCTGCTGCTAATCTGCTCAACAGTTTATCTTTGCTGTCGTGATCGGTTGAGCTTTCTTTAAACCGTTATGGATTAGCGTTCTGCTATAACACGTTAAAAGCTTAGCTTTGTTTATTTTTGTCAAGAATGGGGGAGGGATATCAGGTTCAAATGTTCAGGCAGCGGTTTATGAATGGTTATTTTTCTTACATGGCAATAAATATATTCAGGTACCGAATGCAAGGCACAGCTAAATGCTTCGAGAGACAGTACTAGTGGCTGGAATAAAAATATTTGTGAATTCATTAAAAAAAAAAAAAAGAAAAAGAAAGAAAGAACTTTATAAATTTGCGTAATTATTTTAATCTGTAAATACAAAATTTAATCCAGCATTCAAATAGTTCATCACACCCACCAGCTTTGTACAGAAGACCAAAGAGTAAATGGCCTGAAAGCTTAATTAATAAAGCTGGTTGAGGATTTTACTAAGTTTGCATTGTTGTTGCAATTTGGAGACAGAAATCCTGCCAAAAGCAATCCGTCATTCAGCTGCAGGAAGATAGTACACCACAATGCACACAGACACCAAACAAATGGAACCTCAGCCACGCCACTCACAAAGAGGTGTTCAGATAATACTAACGAGCTGTTCAGTGAATTTTCATGGTGGGTTCATCAACTATGAAAGTGGATGATTTATTAGAAGACTACAGTATGAATCCAGGTCCAAATTTCTACTATAAAATGATGAGCACAACATACTAGTTAAACCAAATCCAGCAATTAGCACACTGCTTTCACCTTTGCGTAACCTAAAGGGTTTGCAGATGCCAGTCTGGAATGGGATGAGAGGCTGTGTTCCTGAGCACTGTCAATAATCCTCCGTGCAGCTGAAGCCTATGCGCTTCCTGTTCCAAGGAAACACTAATTCTGTGATCAGTCGTGCTGGCAACCCTATGACCTCACAACTTTCCTATCCAAAATGAAGCAAGCAGGCACTTTTACATTCCTAAGAGCAACACAGACACTAGAGAAGTTAAAAAAAAAAGTGTCTAGTGGTGCTAGGGAAAAAAAATAAAAACATAAACCTGGGAAAGTAATTCAGAAAAGAGGAGGAAGAAATCCAACTTACGCGCAATTAGTGTGCTGTTTGCTTTGCTTTTTTATCGGGAGAGATCTTTATTCTGCACATTCCAGTGAATGGCCGTTCGCTATTAATTTATCTTCTTTCTGATGGCAAGTGGAGCACCATTCCAGAGTTTCAACATTCCCTTGATGCTGCTCTGATTAATGCTTGTGTGCTATTTAAACAAAGCATATTCCAACCAAATCTGACCATATATGGAACTCCCTGACGAGTAAAAATTTGGATGCCCTACAAAAAAGAACCATGAAAACAGAATACACACACAAACACACAGAACACGCCAGACTGCACAAACTCAACATGTACTAAAAGAGGCTCTTGGTGGCAAAGGTGAGGTATCCCGTGTGACCGACCATCTCCCTGAGTGGCACGCCACTTTTGAACTGCACAGTTCCTTGCTGCAGATTAGCGCTCGGGCTACCTTGGTTTGATGGGTTGCTGCTGTCAAAGCCAGTGCTAGAATTATCCTCAGCTGCTTTTCCAAGGTCAGGGATTTGCAAGCTAATTGTCCTTACATTGTACACTCGGAGCAGAATTTCCAAGGTGTTAATCTCTGTAAAACCATATTCTTCCATCGCTAGGCAGGTTCTCTGGACTTGTTCAATGCAGGGGGAGAAAGAGCAGATGCGGCCACCTGCAACATGAGACAAGCAGTGGAAAAGAGAATAAGAAGCAGAACAAAGCACTTTTTATCTTTTTTCAAATTCTCCCAGATGCCCATAGAATTATTACTATACGGACAAAGTAAAAACATTTTTCAAGAAAATCTCCATGAGGCAACTATGCACGTTTAGAGTGTCAGCACAAAATCAAACATGGACAACTCTACAAGATGCTTCAGACCCTTTAAAAACTGCAACAGCGAATTCATTCATCTTCCAAATTCAGTGTTGCCCACCACACGTGTTCCTGATAAAACCATTAAAGTTGATCCCTTTAGAGAAGCGACTCTTTTGCAATCACTACCCACTATTGTGGACGGAGGCACCGAAGTGAAGTTGGCACCTACACAAAGCCAGAAGTCATTCTCCACACATTGTACAGAGTTGCCTTCATTAGAATACAAGCGTGTGTGCACACACATGCTGACAAAAGCGGCCGTGTTTATTTGAGAATGATGGTATGCGTGTACAGAATAAAGCAATCTCTCCCGGCCATAGAAGGAGTGCTGTTAAGGCTTTATTTACCCTTTTAGTCAAGCTGACTAGCATGTCTCCTGAGCATTAAAGTTTACTGGATACCACATTGGGCAGGTTTACAGCAAATGCTTCAAAACTCTAGGATAAGACTTAAGTGATAAACTAACACTTGTCTCCTTGTCTGTGCACAGTTCAGATTTTTTATTCTAAATACAGAGTATTAATAGGCCCCCTACAACTTTCTGCATGCTATGGTGTCAGCTTAACAGCTGAGAATAGAATGATTCCGATTTACTCTGAAAAGCCACAGCCAAATCAGATCAAAGAATTATAAGGACACTGTCTGCCATAAAGCCAGGGCATGTGCTTTCACCCTGGACATGATGTCCCACAAGGCAACTGCCCTTCCTGAAAAGCTTTTGTGCTGGGGGAAGGAACACTGGGCAATGCAGCTTCAACCATTGTTCTACTTATTACAATTAGATGAAAATGCTTGCTGACCTGATTCGCATTCCTTCCCAGCCCTCTCCCAGGCTCATCCAGTCAAGCCTTCCAACACCAGTTGTCTAAGTAGTTAAAGAACCCGTGCAAGTGAGAGCAAAGCATCCTGCTAAAAATAGAGGCTATGCTGGGACTACATGAAGCCTGCTTTATCTCAAACTCCCCTTTTTTTTCCTTTTTCGTTTCTAAAGTCACATCTCTAAAAAAAGAAAGCATCAGGTCTGAAAGCATCACTGTAGCACTCTAGTTACTGTGCAGCAATGATGTGCCAGCTACTGACTGGGGAAGAACACTCTCCATGACCATTATCTACCATACACTAAATAGGATTTAATTTTAGTCCTGAAAGAAAGTCTCCACAGCCAGGGGTTCTTATCATGCATCTTCAGAACAAAATACCCTGGACAAGTAAGTCCCTGGAGTGACAATTAAAACCCAAATCTAATAATCACCTGCAAAATGAATGCTGGTATGTGTCATTATTAACCAACTCTGTTGATGCCCACATAATTGCACACCCAGTCCACTAGCTCCCATGAAATTAGATTTATATATTCATCAGGATGGCCAGGGCTACCAAAATGATTCTGGATCAGACAGCCAATCTTTTCTGTCCAAAGCAGTACACACTTCTACCATGTCTGTAGATGTAAAAGAGAAAAGCTCAGAAACAAATTTCTGTTACATAATTAGAAAGCTACTATGACACACCTATGTTATAAAGAAAAACATTATATTCTTATTG